CTGCACCACTGCCTCGCCCGTATTATTGTTTAAATAAGTTTGTTTATTTATTACAAGTTTTGTTTTTTATTCACTCATATTTGTTAAACGTTAGCTTTAACTAACAAATCTGAGAATCTGGAATAAAAAATAAAGTAAAGAAAACTATTTTTAAGTTTTTAATTTTAGTTTTCAATAATAACTCACACACACACACACACACACACACACACACACACATATATATATATATATATATATATATATATATATATATATATATATATATATATATATATATATATATATATACACACAGGGTGTGCCATTTATATGGATACATCTTAATAAAATGGCAATGGTTGGTGATATTAATGTCTTGTTTGTGTCACATTAGTATATGTGAGGGGGCTTGTAAATAACTCATGAAAGAACACAATTACGTTAAAACCAAGCACACAATTTTATTTTTTTATTTTTTTGTGAATATCCCAATAAGTTTATTTAGGTGTATCCATATAAATGGCCCACCCTGTATATCTGTCCTCCGTTTCCACCCACACCTGCAGTTTTACACATGCAGTTAATAATGGTTTATTGTCTTTAGAGTGCTTCACAACATTAACCAAAGACAAGACAGTGACCAAACAATTCCCCAGAACATTTAAAACATCCAGAAATGTTAAAATTGCCCAAATTTTCACAATAAACCACACTAAAAGAAAAAAAAAGTGTAACTCTGAAATCTAATCATATGTTGTCCCTTATTTATGGTCAAGCACTAATACTGTCATTCCCTCAGCAGATATGGTTTACATAAAGCATCATACATCACTGCAGTGAACCAGTCAATCCGGCCTGACAGCTCATTTCACAGAACAAGGAGACAGACTTTACAAAATATTACATTACAGCGGATGCTTGGCATTTCAGATGTGGCAGAGCAATGCAATATAATCTTATAAACTGACTGATAGTTACATATAAGGACATTATTATTAGCCTGTTGTGCAGGAAATAACAGGAAATGTTAGTATAGAAATATATATCACCATAGAAATATTATTACAGCAAATATTCATCTAAGCGTTAAGGGGGTGGAAGACATCAATCGTCTTGGCCAGCTCAAGCCAATAAATAACCCTGACAGTTTAATAATAGTTAATAATTAGTAACAAGGAAGTGAAATAATTTGTAAATCCTAGCTGCTGTTTTTTTTTTTTCTTTTTCTACGAAAAGACATGGAAAGACAGATATTGTGAACTCTTTGTCTTCTTTTTTCCCTTATCTGTAAGCTTATCAAACCTGCCTAGTTAATTCCTTGTTTTAATAATTTTAGTTGCATTAACTCAGCCATAGCTCATATTTTATTTACAATTTACAATCACAATAGAATATTCTGCATTGTAATACATTTGCATACCATACTTTTTCTAATATTTATTTTTCTTCAGCATAGTCTTTTATATATCTGGGGTCGCCACAGCAGAATGAACCGCCAACTATTCCAGCATATGTTTTACACAGCGGATGCCCTTCCAGCTGCTACCCAGTATGCATACACACTCATTCACACTCATACACTAAAGCCAATTCAACTATACCCGCATATCTTTGGACTGTGGGGGAAACCGGAGCACCCGAAGGAAACCCATGCGCACACGGGGAGAACATGCAAACTCCTTTTTTAATGTGTAAACTAAAGTACAAAATGTTGTCTTTTGTGCTGGATTTTATAAAGATTCTAAACTAAACAGCGCCATCTGACGGTCTTTCCTGTAACATCTCATTTCCCCCTCCCTAATATACGTAATCGCGTTAATTTCGAGGTCCTTGAAGATGAGTACTACATAAAATGTAGATTGTGGATTCATTTCCGCGAATCGGTTCTTTCAAACTGTTCGTTTAAAATAGTGATATTAATGATATTTATAGACCTAAATACAATTATTTGAATATAATACCATAGTCATACATAAACAGCATTAGCGTACAATCAGAAAAAAACAATACAAATAACTTTTTAGAGAATTTTGAAAGCTTTGAAAGCCTAAGCAGGTTTGGACAATGTAAATCATAGGTGTCAAACTCCTGGAGGGCCGCAGCTCTGCACAGTTTAGTTTCAATCCTGCTTCAACACACTTAACTGTAGGTTTTAAACAAAACTGAAGGACTTAATTAGTTTGATCAGGTTTGTTTAATTAGGGTTGTGACTAAACTGTGCGGAGCTCTGTGCCTCCAGGAATTTTGACACTTGTGATGTAAACCGATGTAAAACTAATACTAAAACAACATCTTACAAACACTCCAATTAAAATGGATAAATGTCTAATTGTCTTTATTTAAAAATAATAATAGTTCCATAATATTAGGTCTCCATTGCTAAAGTGGAACAAGAGAAGCAACACAAATGCAGGAGCGAAACATTTCAATAAATTGTTTTTCTTCTTTATTTTTGGTGTGAGGACTAAAAGTTTATTGCAATAAATAAATAAATATATGTATGTGTATATAAAACATTTTAAAGTTAAATTAATACCTGTTGCTCCTGATTATACATTAAATTCTTATGCCGCAGTCTAACTAGAGTTTGAGCGTGCAAAATTCTGTCGTACGGCGCTGCGGAAAGGGGCGGCATATACAAGATGATTAGACATTTAAAAAAGCGAGCGATTGGGCCATGTTTCAAATTTCTGTACAAAGAGGTCATGTTTTGATTCTCGATTGGTTTCACGCAGTCAAGTGATGCGATTTCGCCGGTCAGAGTTCACCAAGCTTGAACTTTCCAATGTATCGAACGTTGCGTTTTCGGTCTTACGCATTAACGTGCATATGAATGGAAGTCTATGGGGGGAAAAGTGAAGTGTGACCGCAGCTTTAAGCAGGTGTGAGTTGGAGGTGGTTGGAGGTAAACTATGCAGAGCTGCGGCCCTCCAGGAATTGAGTTTAAGACCATCCACGTAGTGTGTTGTCATTTGAATATTATGCATTATAGACCATGATTCCAGGTATAAAAAAAACAAAAAAAACTTTTTTAATCTGTACATCATAAATGGCCTGAGAGTGAGTAAATTAAAAGCAAATCTGCAATTTTAAGTGAACTTTTCTTTTAATAAAAGATGTTAAAGGAAAGAAATTCACCCAAAAATTAAAATATATACACATCATTTACTCACCCTCGATGGGTTCCATACATTTATACGATAACTTTTTATTTAACGCAAAATAAAAACAGTTTAAAAATGTAAATTTCCGCTGAAAGCTTAATGTAACTATTTTCAATTTCAAACGGTTCCTTTTACAGCATCGATATTGTAATGTGATTACAACACATTCAGTTAAATAGAGTTAAGCATTCATTTAGTTGTTCAAGCATTAAACGAGATGTCAGGGTCAGCAGGCGAGCGCAGAAACTCCATTAATAGAACAGGAGTAAAATAAACTGTCATAATTTAAAGACATGGCGGGGGAAATGGAATTTAACGCCGGGCTTCTTGTTTGATCTGAAACCCACTTCACAGGCAGTGATGTGGTTCATGGTGGCTCGAAAGACCCACCCCTACTGACAAGGGTACAGAATTTGTCCCACATTGGCTGATTTGTCCTGTTTTGACTGCTTTTTCATCATAAATTGTGAAAATAACCCATCCAAGGACCAAACGGAATCCATTCGTGATTTCAACTAATCGGTTTTGGCCAATGCAAACCAATATTCTTTCATGAGTCCAACATCTGTGCAAGAAAACATACAATCGGACAAGAGTAAAGCCATCTTTCACTACTGACCCTACTGTTTTGTTGGTAAATAGAGAAAACATTTTACAAGTAACTTTTATTCTAAATTTTGGACATTATATATGGAAAAAAAGATCAATAAAAAGGTGTGAAGCACCAAAAGCGGTCCATATTAAAGTTAATTTTAATACTAATCAGGCTTTGAATTTTTTTACAAGAGAAAAATCTATAAAAATTTGTGAAGCTCTACATTAATACTATTATTGTTATTGTATTTTAAGTTCTAACAGAAGAAAGCTAAATGTGCTGGCCAGAATATTTTGCCTAATAAATTTAATTAAGCTACAGTTTTTAATTAAAAATGTAATGAATCCTTTTTTTTTTCTTAATGATAAATCATGTAATAAATAAGTATTTTAAATATGTTTTTTCAAAATGTAAAAAAAAAGGTTTGGTACAATAAAAGGTTTGTTTCTGATGACCATCTGACGAGCTATTTTAACAAAAAGTGCTTAAAATGTCACTAAAATGCAGTATTTAAACCTCATAATTAAACAGAAAATGAGGCGAATAACTGCAAAATTCAGTGGAGTAAATGTTTTCAACATAAAATTGTCTCTTTTGCCCTCTAGTGTGCCATTTACAGTAGTCAAACAAATATAAAGGCATTTTCCTCAAGAGAAAGCAAAGGTCCACTTTTTAAGAAAAAATAACTACCCCTTTTACCAGACTGGCTACAGGCCTGCTTTATATTGTAAATCTAGCATGCAGTGGAAACAACTGATTTTGAAAGAAATCAGACCTTAAATGTGGCAATTTTATAATGGAAAGACAGTTTAGCGGAAGCGCTGAGGCTGGCTGAAATTAAAAGTCAGTGTGCATATACCCCACTGACTTCCATAACAGGAAAAATACTATAACATTTTTATAGGTAATTAATTACGTGCTCAACATTTAAAAAATTAACTGGTCTATGAGTCCAAAAACGATGACAGAATGATGACATTTAGTGGGAACTATCCCTTTAAGACCGGTTTTGTAGACCAGTTCAATCAGTTCACTGAAACGATCCGACTCACAATAATGATTCATTCACGAATCCGTTATCACTTCTAATTTGAAGCAGAAACAGATATCATACCACGTTTACCATATTATAATGTCGGACGTTACGGTACGTGTAAAAAGTTACTGATATTTAAATGAATTTGAAATTTTCTTAAATCCATTCTAATCACTGAACTTGGATTTACTGAACGCACGCCGTCCAGGACCTTTACAATAGTCACATAGCTTAGATTTGATCCGTTTGGCCGCAACTGCAATAACACTGGGAGATGTGTCAAGCGAACGTGCTTCACGGGGCCGCGGCGGGGTTCTGACCCGCTCTTCAACCCGGCTGTGCGGCGATATCAACGCTTGCTCTCGGCGGAGGAGTCTGTCATGTCTGGCGCAGTGGCCACTGGAGGGGCGCAGTCCGCGGGTCTGGGCGCTGCCGCCGCGGGCTGCTGCTCCTCCGCGTCGGGCGCCGGTTCTGCCGCATTATTAAGCGCAGGATCGGGCATCGCAGGCCGGTTACCGAGCCGTGTTCTCGAGCATATATTCTCATATCTAGAGCTGATGGATCTGCTAAACTGCTCGCTCGTTTGCTGGCACTGGAACAACTGTCTGTCGGATGAAAACAGCGAGGTGTGGCGGAGTCTGTGCGCCCGTTCACTGAGTGATGAAGCGATGCGCTCTGATATCCTCTGCAACCTGGCTTCATATAAAGGAAAAGTAAGATTGTGTAGCTCAATTCTCATTAATGCCTTCTTTAACATAAACAACAATGCAGTACTTATGATCATGCATAACATTTCTGAATTCCTGTTCTGTTTAATGGACATATTTTCTTCAGTGCATGAATGGTGAGAGAATGTTGTATTATTTGCTTTTAGTTTAAAGTAAGAAAGGTCAATTTATTATTTTAATATTTTCGTATTTCATCATATCTTTTTGATACAGTTATGTTACTAGGTAAACTACCGAGACGGCGCTAATGGTCTTCAGTATGACGTCATTTGTAAATATTGAGCCCAGAGACAGGCAAATCAATAGGTAGTCTGCAATTGATGGGCACAAATGTCCTGACAATTGGTCATATACATATAGACGACTTAATTTTTGAAATATTCTACTGACAGGTCGTGTGATAGCTTAAGATTTATTCTAAACAATTACCATACTCATGCAATGAACATAAGATATGACTGATGAAAGAAAGCATAAACCATCCTATTCAATAATGAAAATGATAATAAATCATAGCAATAATAATGAGAGTTTTCTTTAATTTTTTTAATAACTTTTGCAAATAAAAATGTCAACACATATGTGAAATAATGTTTCTGTAGTTAGCGTAACATTTATGTAAAATCAAAACAAATGTAATTCTTACCTGGACATCTGAAAATATGTTAACAAAAAGAGATATTTGGAATTATTAAAACCCCTTGCTAACAAATGCATTAAATCTAGCATTTGGCAAAATATATCAATTTAAAATTAATTAGTAGTTTTTATAGACTAGATCTTGTAAGATTCTTGTTCTGAAATGCTTGATTATTTCTCGTTGTATAAAATATTGTTTTCATATATTGTTAATTATTAAAGTTGTTATTTTTTATAGGCATGGGATAATAACCGATTCCACTGTTTACCATGGTTTAGAAAAGTCAAGGTTATAAAACCGCAATTTGTTCTGTTATACCGTTCCTAAGGTATATGTAAGAGTTTTTTCTTTGTTTTTTTTTTAAAACATGATGTAAAGAAATCAGTGTTTTTTAAACTAACGAAGAGAGCAGAAGTCATTGATTTATTTTCAATATTTAGCCTATCATGTTTACTGTTTCAAAATATTTTAATATGTTATAACATATTATATGTTTCCTAAAATAAAATATATATTGTGTTCAATGTGGAAAAAGTTTTTTTTTTTTAACCCAAACATTTAAAATGAACTCATTTTAGAGCAATAATCGCAATACTGTGAAACAGTGATCTTTTTATTTAAAGTTATCATACCGTCAGAAATGCATACCGGCCCATGCCTAATTTTTTTTACCCATATAAAGAAAGTAACACATAGGGTTGTAACAATATACCGGTATGACGGTTTACCACGATTTGAACGTGCATGATTATCATACCATGAACAATTGCATATCAACGGTTTTAACCCTTAAAGACCGAGACAGCCGCCCGCGGCTAAAAATAAGTATTGCTCTTAAATGTTTAATAACTTTTGATCCACTGATCCGATTCATACAATTCAAAGATTGGCATAAAGAAGAGAATTATTATTATTATTATTATTATTATTTATTCTCAGCTTTCCAGTGCTGTATATCACATAACATTCGCGGACTTTCAGAGGCTCCGGAATCAGTGCGGTTACGTCATCAACATTTGACAACGCTGATTTGACAAAGAAACGCTTGTCACTGTGTCTCCGGACAAATCAGACATGATACATTGATGCATTGTCCCTCCTCCATGCCCAGATTGGTTCAAACTCGCTATATCACAACCAATAAGCATAGGTTTCGCTTTTGTTTGTGGACCAACACTGAGCTTTTTGAACAACACGGAATGAGAGAAAGGCATACATTTATGCGCGGCTAAATAAAACGCAAAAAAAAAAGTTTTGCATGAAATAATTCTCATACTAAGTACTTTTGCATGCACAGCAGCACAGAAACATGACAAAACAGTGACACAGCAAAGACGAACTGCTGCTCTTGCTGTTTTCAAAAGACGCAAATGAAGATGCAGCTGTTTGTCTGCATTGCATTCAACCACATCCAAATCCATGCTGGCACATAGAACCTAAGGATGTTCCATATTGAATCTAGTTTCGTTATGTAACTATTTATAGTATAGTAAATATTTATATCTATTTTTTACTGAGGATTTGCACCATGTTTATTTGGACTTTATTTGGACTTTGACACATTATTTATTATTTTCTTATTTTTATTTGTTCATTGTAAGTGGTGTTGTTTATAGTAACTAAAAATATATTATTTGGAAAAAGTCAAATTTGCTTCACTGTTCTATTATTTTGTAACATTTGTAACATACCGTATACCGCGAAACCGTCAAACCGTGGTATTGTTTTAGACGATTATCATACCGTGAAAAATTCATACCGTTACAACCCTAGTAACACAGGACACATTTTACAAGAAAATATCTATTTTAGGCTGTCTTACACCTCTCATTTTTGATCCTTGATGTATGAAGACTTCAAAATCAGATGCAAAAAACCTTTAAGTGCCATCTGCAGTTTTCTTCTAAAATGAGCTTTTTTTTTCAGGCTCTTGTGTGTTCAGTAAAGTAAAGTCACCTTTTTGTCAAAGCATAAGTTATTTTCGATGCATTTAAAGTGGAATAACTAAACATAAACACAGGAGATTAAGAAAAATGTTCATTTTAGATAAAAATTTCAGATGGCAATTAGTAGGGCTAGCTGGGCGATCTGGCCTAAAATCAAAATCTCGATTAATTGACCATTTTGACTCGATTACGAATCATGAATGAACAATAATATTTTTTTTTCAATTTGTTCGTTTGTCCTCATAGTTAACTGACAGGTTTTGTCAATTAAATATGCTCACATATTACAAATGAGAGATTTCTGAATGAAGGGTGCATTACTTGATATTAAAATAATTGAAGGAAACACACACTATCTACTATCTATGGATATTTATTGAACTTCAGCGTTAAACAACTGAAATTAAAACACACATTACCCGAAACCAACACTCACATTTTTCTTTAAAATTTTTTTAAATAAATAGCTTACACTTTTGGGAACAAAATTTATTATTTTTAAATTTTTTTTAATATTAAAAGTAGAAAATAAGCTGTATCTCTTCTAAATAAAATAAATCTTGTAAATAATATTTTAAACACTGCATTTCTTGCATCTTCTGTAAACAAATATTTCCATGTAAATAATAATTTGAATATAACGGATAATATGCCGTCTCAATGCATTTCTGGCGTCAGCTTCCAATCATCGTCAAAGTAGTGCAAAGTAAGGCTCAATAATTCATCATCCTGCTTGACCAGAGAGCAGATGTGGCTGCAAAGTGGCCACAGAGTATAAAACAGAGCAGGGTCACTCGACTCCACAAGCGGTACGGAAAGTAAGCCTTAATACTAAAACCTAATCGACCTGAAAAAATGTGTCGATTTCGATTTCTTTTTGATTAATCGCCCAGCCCTAGCATATAGAGGTTTTTGGATCTGAACTCTTCATGTACTTTACACACACTCATCTAACTCTATATTAGAGGTTCTCAAACTTTTCAGCCTGTGACCTCCAAAATAACAATGCCAATGACTCCCGACCCCCAATATTTTCTGAAGTGGTTATGAATATATAAACCTTGCACACAACAGCGCACACATACCAATATGCCCAAGTCTACTCATTGTTTATATCTAGAGAACGCCACTTGGAGACAATCCTCCATGTTCAGTTGTGCCCTGTATATATTTTTAATGTACATGAGTGCCATAAAGGTGTCAAAGAGTTTAACCTGGTGCCATAAAAACAACGTGCTGCATCTGAGGCCATTGCTATGTCTTAATTTAACATTTTAAATATAACTTAATATATCATTTAATATAATGAATTAAATATTTCCTCATTAGCCGCGTTTCCACTAAAGCGAGCGAGCCAGGGCGAGCCAAGGCCGGTGGCGTTTCCACTGTCACTTCCGGGGCCTAATCGGGCCAACGCGGGGCTTTCTTGGGGCCAGCTGCCAGCCTTTTTCGGCCCGCCAAATACCTTGGGCCAAAGAGGGCCAGCCGGGGCTTCGGGGCGGAGTGAAAGGAGAGGCGGGCACAGTTTTCCGATCGCACTCAAGTACATGCGCCAAACAAATAAATAAATAAGGGAAAGAAAACGTGACCCCGTAAGTGGTCCTGACCCCACTTTGGGAACCACTGCTTTATATTAATACTATATGATTATACAGTTGAAGTCAGAATTATTAGCCCCCTTTGTATTTTTTTCTTTATTAAGTATTTCCCAAATGATGTTGAACAGAGCAAAAAAAATCACAGTTTGTCTGATAATATTTTTTTTTCTGGAGAAAGTCTTGTTTGTTTTATTTCAGCTACAATAAAAGCAGTTTTTATTTTTTTAAAAACTCATTTTAAGGTCAATATTATTAGCCTCTTTAAGCTATTTTTTTGGATGGTCTACAGAACAAACCATCATTATACAATAACTTTTGTATAAATGGTATCCTAATCACCCTAATCTGCCTAGTTAACCTATAGTTAAGCTTTTAAATGTCACTTTAAGCTGTATAGAAGTGTCTTAAAAATATCTAGTCAAATATTATTTACTGTCATCATGGCAAAGATAAAATAAATCAGTTAATGGAAATGAGTTATTAAAACTATTATGTTTAGAAATGTGTTGAAAAAAATCTTCTCTCAATTAAAAAGAAATTGGGGGAAAAATAATTCAGGGGTGCTAATAATTCTGACTTCAACTGTATAAAATGCTTATGTCATTGGACAAAAGTGTGAAACAACTAACAGTAATTTTCTTTTATTCTCAGCTGAAGTCTTTCCAGCACGCTCTGAGCTCCCATGACTGCTCCAGAAATGTATATATCAAGAAAAACGGGTTCACCCTGCACCGCAACCCCATCGCCCAAAGCACCGACGGCGCCCGCGGGAAGATTGGCTTCTCTGAAGGGCGTCACGCCTGGGAGATCTGGTGGGAGGGTCCTTTGGGCACGGTGGCGGTTATTGGCATCGCCACCAAGAGGGCTCCCATGCAGTGCCAGGGCTATGTGGCACTTCTAGGCAGCGATGACCAGAGCTGGGGGTGGAATCTAGTAGATAATAACCTGCTTCACAATGGAGAGGTCAACGGCAACTTTCCCCAGTGCAACAATGCACCAAAATACCAGGTAGCATATTTCAAATAGAATTTTAAAGACAAGTTCATACAAGTTTTCAGGGGAATTGAGGAAAATCAATTATTTACTCAACCTCATGTTAATCCAAACCTGTATGCCTTTTGTTTGTGTTGACTGTCTTTAGGTGTTTCTCAACTCATGTGCACTATAGGGTATATGCAGAAGGACTTTCATTTTCAGTAACCCAGTTTATGCGCTTCAGGTGAACTGTATGTTGTTACAAAATTGCCACGTTTAGGGTCTGTTATCTTAAATCAATGATCTTCGCTGCCTGATTGATATACGATATAAAGTTGGTCTCAGACTGGACAAAAAGCACTGCATTAAATTACACTGTTTCATACCATGTCTTTAAAATCTGAAAATTCATTTTACCACAGTATTTTCAATGGAGTTGCTGCACTAGCCTGCTGCTATGGCACTTGCATTTTCTCAGTCATTTGTCTCGTTTTACTCTTGAACAACTAAATGAATGCTTAAGTCTATTTAGAGTGGGGGTCTCAAACTGCCGGCCCACAGGCCATTTACGCCCCCCCCCCTCCTTAGCCTTCGGCCTGCAACTGACGTCAAAAATATACGGAGATTCGGCCTGCCAAAACATTTTTGAACCTCTATCATTATTGTGCAGTCAATTCTAGCCACTTGTTGTTTTGACCTGCCACCAAGTCGACATTTAAAGTACTGCGTTCAGATTAGTTTTACTTTCATTTTCTCTCAGTGTAGGGTTGAGAATAACATGGGTTTTAATTCTGGAGCTAATTTAAACGTTTATATATATATATATATATATATATATATATATATATATATATATATATATATATATATATATATATATATATATATATATATATATATTAAAGATGTGCGGAGCAGCCGGTATTTGTATTTGTTGAGGGGGGAAAAGTATTTGTATTTGTATTCGAGTAAAATTCAAAATGGCGCAAAAATATATATTTTTTCTATTACACTTCTAATTTACATTATAGTGAAAGTATTGCTTAATTATACCCATTATATAATTTATAGACATGCAATATTGGCTGTTGTTTTTGAACATGTGACAAGAAATGTCATTGAAAAGAAAATAACATAGAAGCCATTATCTCATCCATGGTTAAACCAACAGCTAATAAAATACCATTGTGAATATTATGAACCCCACCACCACCGTTCTTGTTGAAGGACACTGAATAGAAAGAATAAAAACAAATAATACTTCAAAAAACTGTTCTTCTTTTGAAAGAACTTCTTTCCAATGGACAGAATTCCAAAAACTAAAATTAACTAAATAAATCTAAATGAAACCCTGCCTGGGAGATCTGGCAGAACAAAAGCATTCTATATAATACTAAAAGATACAGCCCTGCTATTGTCATCTGCCAGCCACAAAACAGACACAAAGTTTGTTTTTTGTTTTTTATGTTTGAAACTGACTTGCTGGGGCAGAATGTGGCTGTGTTCATGGTTTGGTGCTTGTGGAGGATTTAGCAGAACATAGCTGTGCTGATTGAGGGGATTGATGCTTGTGGGGGGTTCACAGACAGTATCAGGAGAGGATGCTTTTAGTGCATGTGATAATACATTACATAGAAGGTTGCGCGGTGGCACAGTGAGTAGCACTGTCGCCTCACAGCAAGAAGGTTGCTGGTTCGAGCCCTGACTGGGTTCTCCCCATGTTGGCGTGGGTTTCCTCCGGGTGCTCCGGTTTCCCCCACAGTCCATACACATGCAAGACAGGTGAATTGGGTAAGCTAAATTGAAAGAGAGTGTATGGATGTTTCCCAGTGCTGGGTAGCAGCTGAAAGGGCAGCCACTGCGTAAATCATATGCTGGATAAATTGGTGGTTCATTCCACTGTGGCAACCCCAGATTGATAAAGGGACTTAGCCGAAAAGAAATTAATGATTATGGATAGAAGATGTTGACAGATGTTTAATATCTCTGCCTCTGCTGATTTCACTTTTGCACACATTATACAGTATCAGTTTGTTTTATCTGCAGCTCCACTGACTGTAAAATTCTTCCACAAAGAACATGAAGTTTTTTTTTTTGTTTTTTGTTTTTTGACTGGTGGAGGACCAAGAAATGGCTCAGCTGCAGTCTCACTCTTTTTCTATTCGGGTGCCCAAATGTATTTGAGGAGTTTCAAGTTAATAAAAAGTGACGGGAAGCTATGCTAAGGTTAACTAGCCTATAGCATATATCTTGCTATCTGCAAAAGACAGTAATGTAGACGTACCATATAACTCCCATAAGTGCATACTATTCGACACAACTGCACAAGCATCGTTTTAACCTTTATAAACGAACGTTAACGTTACTCTGTCAACAGTCTATTGTCTAAATTACCGCGCTAACAGAGCTAACGTTGCATAAACAGAGAGCACCCGATTGCAAACTTCAAAAATGCAGCGTAATGGAATATCCTGATCAAACTCCGCTACAAGTTTATAAACTGCATATGGAACCCAATTAAGGTACAAAAATCTATTTAACAAAAATAGTGATGCAGTGAAGTATTTTTTTCGCTCAGCCGAGCCTTCTGTCTGTTGCTGTGGAAAAGCTTGTGCCTGCCCTCCGACTTCTGACTGAGCGTGTCTTTCTCTCTCTCTCTCTCTCTCTCTCTCTCTCTCTCTCTCTCTCTCTCACTCACTCACGCAGGCATGCACTGTGGTCTCATGAGGAAACGCTGCTTTTAAATATATAGTGTTTTTCTTGCTCCCGATTACAAATAATTTTTCAAGTATTTGTTCAAAATAAGTATTCGTAAAAACACGCTATTCGTGCCTTTCCGAATACCGTATTCGGGTTCGGCTCCACATATATATATATATATGTCCGTAAGTGCTCTATTTTCCCTAAATCTTTATTTTTGTAAATATTCAAGGGTTGTTTGATTATTATCAGTTTTCTACCACCTGTATTTTGTTGTTCAAACATTATTATAGGGCTTACACGTTATACTGATGGTGTAACAAATATGTTCATTTTGCTAATAATCGATTCAAATGCTTTCATTTAATAGGTTTTCCACATATGCTTATTAAGATCTGCATAACAACTATGTACATTAGTAAAATTGTAATGCTAGTTGAATTGAACTTGTTAATGTAAATGTGAATATGAACATACTTTTCCTCTCTTTGTTGCAGTTTTACAAAAAAATAAGAAAGATATTGAGAAGAACAATTGCCAGTAAAGTCACTTAAGTAACCTAAACTGCTTTCTGCTGTTCTTACACTATTGGGACAATACAGTTGGTTGGGACAGAATAATAATTAATATACCTATTATTTGTAGTATTTTCATAGCAATTTAAATTCCCCCTTCAATATGTACAACAAGAAACCAAAAGATAGGGTTTTGACTGCATATACTCTGTGGAAGAATGACTGAGTGTGTCTAAGGCACGGCCATACACACACCAACCACAGATATATTTCAGCAGCTGATGTGTGACATGATATACATGCTGATTTGCATTATCACTGGTGACAGGTGATGCTTGAAATATAAACGTCATATCTGTTGTCCTAAGATGCATCAATTATGTCAGGTTTATACTTTTTTTAGTGTACTTGAATGTTAAAATGGCCCTACTATGAATTGTCAGTCACCGAAATGGTCCCCCGCCTGTTTGAGTTTGAGACCCTTGATTTAAGGGATTATTCTTTAATTCCATTACAACATCGATGTTGTATGAGGAACCGTATGAAATTGAAAAAAAAAAGGCCAAATTAACCAGTCACCGAAGTTTATCAGTACAGGAAAAGCACTAGCAGTGCATATAACATATTCCATGCCACGCTTCAGTATAAACAGTGTTAGTATTTGTTCAAAATGCAAAAAGAAGAAAGTGGATTTCTGGATCTGTGAATGATGTGATCAGGCGCTGTTTCCATCTGGCATTAACATGCGTCTTCATTTAGCCAATCAGAAGTGGTCGACGTAGATGCAGGAGTGTTCACAGCTAATATTAGCGTGCATTTAAATTAATCTCTTGTGATGAGATATCATGAGACTTTTATTTTGTTACACTTTACGTTCAAGAGAGCACTCACTTAAGACTATCTGAGATCTCCTACTGCACCTTTATGGCCCGTTGTCACTGAGTTGTACGGTTTGGTTTGGTATGCTTTCCACTGTCAAAAGGTACCAAAAAGCGAAGTTAACGAATCGTACTGTACCACTGTTTGGGTACAACAAAAGGCACCAAAGGGCTGAGCAAGACCCGCAGCTAAACGCTATTGGTTTACAGAGATACGTCACTAGTGGGTGCACAAACCAGGAGAATGAAAACAAAGGTAGCACCACAGCCAAGACATTACACCGTAAAAATATATACATATAATAATGAGCCATGGTCGAGCCGAGCTTAAACAAACCTTGTCATCATCTTGATGAACAGCCACAGAGCCAAGAAGAGCAGAATCTACCCTGTGCCCCATAGTTGTTTACATGGCTGTCTAAAGCATATCTGGTTTCACTTTGTGCGCTCGTCGTGCGTCTATATTTAAAATAACGAAATTCTGTAGCTGATGATAATAACGTGCGTGTGATTATTGAAGTGCTTCTGACATCTGATCCTTTCAGAAAGGCACAAAAGTGATAGTGATGCACGAAAAAGCAAAGGAGAAGCCAGAATCAAAGGAGCAAATGATTGTTTCAGCAACCTAAAACATAAACAGACTGCCGTGTTTAAATATTATCAATGCCTTTTGGACTGTTATGAACTCGAATGACAGAATTACGAAGGTTACATGTGCTGGTCAAGATTAAAGATACAGATGAGAGGTTTGCACTGATTGTAGGCTATATTTTGCGTGTTGTAAGGGTCTGTATGCGTTCATATATGTTGCATTTATTTATTTATGTTATATAATTGCAGATGTTACAGTAGGCTATCATTGATCTGCAGTTATAATCAAATCATGTTCAAAGAAAGGTCAGTAATGAACATTTATACACAAGTGTTTATGTGTATGAAGCATCTGTTTGGTGAGAAGTGCTTCTTATAGGAAATGTGAACCGTACAGCTTTACTTTCACATTTCCTTGAGCGAGAATGACGTCGACTGAAACTTTCTGCCATACGCCACCATTGGTACCCTTTTGGCAGAGGACACGCAAGATAAAGGTGACCCATACCGTACCACTCAGTGAAAACGGGCCATTAATAAAACCAAACCTGTCAATTGTGAACAGATTTATTTATTTTTTTGTGTCAATTTGTGTTTTTCTTGTGAATAAATGTATCTTTAATATGCCTGTCCTTGTTTTTCAGATAGGCGAGAGAATACGAGTAATCCTAGACATGGATGATAAGACACTAGCCTTCGAGCGAGGCTTTGAGTTCCTTGGAGTGGCTTTCCGAGGACTGCCCAAAACATGCCTCTTTCCAGCGGTTTCGGCCGTATATGGGAACACTGAAGTGACTATGGTGTATTTGGGAAGACCTCTCGATGGATAAACATACATATTGGATATCAGTGCCATTCATAACGCCGGAGAGCATCATGGGATCCGCTGCTTGGCATAGATAAGACTCATGGCTTTTCACATTTGGACTAAAAAAAAAAAAGTAAGGGAGTTTGGCTGGTGGGTGGCGGGATTGATGATGGTGAGGATGTCCAACACACATCTGCGGATTCAGTTTTTAATGCATTTTGAAAACCTGGGACACTTTTTTTTTTAAATACCTGGTTTTAATCTAATTTATGAGATCGCACAGGGAGCAGCTGTTCTATTTTATGAAATAGGTTAAAAAAATTAAGCCAAACTAGAAGAGACACGTGGCAAAGTTTTATAATTCATTACAAACATTTTACACACGCAAGGAATGAGAAGCTACTGTACGAATGAGAGGATGATTCATGCTTTCACACACACACACACACACACACACACACAAAGCATTTACGTGTACAGTAGGTAAATTTAAGACGTAAACATGCCAAATAATGTTTGGATATTTACCGTACTGTTTTTTTTTTCAGAGCAGTTATCTGCATGCAGTATACCAGTCTCTTCCTGTTTTTAATATTATTATTTTTAAGGACAGGCAAAGGTAGTATTTGGCTATTCTGTTTGTTACTGTACATCTTAACTGTGATGTAGAAGTGTATAGTATTTATTTATTGAGGTCTATCTTTGCTATAACCGATGGTTATGGAGACTGCAAATAAACTCTAAATTGTGCCAGACTGTGAACGTATCACAAACACTTCCATTGTTGTGGGATCATTTCTTAAATTATTTGTTGTCCAATTAATACTTGTATGTCGGAATCAATGAAAAGATATCTTTCACCACAAGATGGCATCTGTCCTCACATGTTCACCAACATATCCAAACTATTTTTATTTTACAGCTTTGTTTTCTGAAAGGACAATTTCATCATCAGTTTTACTGGCGGTTTATTAATGTTGTTCACTATATTTATATAGGTATGAGCAAAAGCAATGATTATTGCTGCTATTTAAGTATATAATTCCTACTCTCAAGGCTTTAAATATCATGATGCACTGCCTGTGCTATATGTGACAGTCATATATGATCACATTTATGTTTATGATGTAAATATGCATGTATTTGCCAGTTAATTTTTTAATATAGTATTGTATAGTCTCCACTTGTCTTCACATTGTTTTACTACAGTACTTATAGCAACTAAATAACATAAAGAATTAGGTAGTTGTGAAGTCTTTATACTTGTCATAATATTTTTATTTGTAATATTTATTATTATTATTTATATTTATTATAAGGAACGTGTGATTCATGAGAGAGGGTTTCGATTAGGTTTAAATAAGCCCTGAAACCATTTTTAACACCCTGGTAACACCTCATAGTGCGAGGTAATTTTCTAAGATGCCACAGTTATTATTGTAACTGGTGGACCGTAAAACTGAAAAACATTTGCTTCTTTTTATTTATTTTTATTTTTTGAAAGCCTTCAAGCAACAAAATATCACAGACCAGTGGATCTCAACCACAACGAGGCCTTAAGATCTGCGGGGTCTTAAAAAGTCTTAAATCTCAAAAGCTTAATTTTTGGCCTTAAGAAGTCTTAAATCTACTGAAATGTTGTGTTGTAGGTCTTAAATCTTTTTTAACAGGTCCTAATTATCGTTGTTTATGTATTGCTAACCAATCTGGCCATGGAGATCCATACAATCACCAACAATCCCAATCTCAATAAAACTTTTAACTTTTTATTTACAAATAGCATTTCATTACTTTCCTTACAGAAACATTTGCTTAAAAGTTCTCCATTTATTTACTGCTGAAGATACTGACCTGACCTATATTTTTTTATTATTAAAATTATTATTATTGTAGACTGAAGACAGCTGGACAATTGACAGCTATGTTTTGTTCTATTCTTGGTAAGAGTTATAGGGTTTTCGAATGGATACATTTAAAAATTAATATAATAATATTTTCTAACTGGGATATTGGGAAAAAAGTATCATATGAATAATCCCTGTATAAGTCTAAAATTCTATTCATAATGGTCTTTAAAATATCTTAAAAAGTCTTAAATTTAACTTGCTGAAACCTGCAGAAACCCTGTAAGATTGCTTAAAATTATTTAATGTAATCCAAAACGTGCATAAGCTAATAATAATAACAATAATACATTTTATTTAAAGGCACCTTTCTGGCAACTTGAGGACATTGTACAATAAAACAAGAGCAATAAAACAACAAGAGAAATAATAAAAAATATACACAGCAATAGTGCAGATAAAATTAATTAATTAATCTTAAATAAGTGGGGTTTTAGTCTTGATTTGAATAGTGTAAGAGAATCAATGTTTCTGATGGCAGGTGGTAGTGAGTTCCAAAGCTGCGGAGCAGAGCGGCTGAATGCTCTGTTCCCCATAGACGAGCAGAGGGAACAGACAGAAGTGGAGGGAGGAAGAGGATCGCAGGGTGCGAGAAGGAACAGAAATGTGGATGAGGGGTGAGATTTTGGATAGCTTTGAATGTTAACATCAACTTTTAAAATCAATTCGAAAATTAACTGAAGCTGCTGCAGGACAGGGCTGATGTGATAAGAAGAAGGGGTTTTGGTGATGATATGGGCAGCTGAGTTCTGGACCAACTGAAGCTTACGGAGGGATTTATAAGTGAGACCAAAGAGAAGGGAGTTGCAGTAATCCAAACGAGATGTGACAAGGCTATGGACGAGAATATAATTTGGCCATGGTGCTCTACCGGAAAAAGGTGGTCTGCCCGCTCCAGGTTAGAGGAAATCCTTACCATCTCCAGGTTGGAGGAGTTCAAGTATCTTGGGGTTTTGTTTAGGAGTGAGGGAAGAATGGAAGGTGAGAAAGACAGGCAGATTGGTGCAGCGGCAGCAGTAATATGGTCAATGTATCGATCCGTTGTGGTGAAGGAGCTGAGCCAGAAGGCAAAGCTCTCGATTTACTAGTGAATCTAAGTTCCTACTCTAACCTATGGTCATGAGCTTTTGAGATCTCAAGGACAAGATCTCGAATACAAGCGGCTGAAATGAGTTTCCTTCACAGGGTGGAAGAGCGCACCCTTACAGGTAGGGTGAGTAGCTCTGACACCCGGGAGGAGCTTGGAGTAGAGCCGCTGCTCCTCCACATCGAGAGAAGTCAGCTGAGGTGGCTCGAGCATCTGTTTCGGATGCCTCCTGGACACCTACCTAGGGAGGTGTTCCAGGCATGTCCCTCCGGGAGGAGGCCTCGGGGAAGACCCAGGACACACTGGAGGAACGATGTCTCTAGGCTGGCCTGGGAACACCTCGGGATCCCCCTGGAGGGGCTGGAGAAAGTGTCTGGGGATAAGGAAGTCTGGGGTTCTCTCCTAAGACTGCTGCCCCAGCGACCCGGCCCCGGAAAATCGAACGAAAATGACATGATATATTGTTTTTCTGCAATATATAATGCGATATGAATACATTTTCACCAGATAGCTTTAATAAAATACAATACCTTAATTTACACTGACTTGGGCTTATTCTGGGTGTGAATCATACATAAAATGTGATAAAAGCATAGATAAATGAATAATAACAGAGCAAAGAATAACATTTAAATTTACAGTGTTTCATGTGGAGCCAAACAGGTGAATAAATTGAATAAAATAACACTATTCGTCAATGTATGAACAGTTGAATACATTTTTATTTAAGTTAGAAACTGTAAATTTTTTTGTCTCTGAATGCAGTCACAGGCCTTAAAAACACAAGCAGATGATACACTTTCACTCTATTATGGTTCATCTCCATCAAATAAATTGTTAGCAAAATTATGGCTCAAATATAATGTCAACATGTAAACTCAACATTGCATATCCTGCGATGTGACTATTGTGGATGTGCACATTGTGATATCGATGCTGAAACGATATATTGTGCATTCCTAAAAACCACTGTCATAAAATTTAGGATTCAAAAACCCAGAACAACTACATAGATGTGCTAAAATGACACAACAGCTGCATATCACAACATCAAAAGCTTCAAACACTGTAGAAAATGTGTAATAATATAAACATACGACAAACTCCTCACAACAATATAGCAATGCACTAAGAACTGTAAAGAACACTAAAAAGTAATACTCAAAATGACTAAATCGCTAAAACACGCTAAAATGATTTATAAACACACTGAAACCTACGAAGATCATACACCTAGTAGCACAAACCACACAAAAAGCACACAAAACATAGATCACTACATACTAAGAATGATTTAAGTAGCCAAAATCTGCATAACAGCACACTAAAATATTTTAGCAATGCACTAAAACCCGCTATGAACACCTTAGCAGTTATGGAATTAAGGTAACTGGATAAAAGCACACTAAAAATTACTCAAATCACCATAGTAATGCAATAATAATAATAGCTAGCTAAGCAATGAACTTCTTGCAACTACTTTAAAAGAGATGAAACTTTAGAAAACACGTAAAACCAAAGTAAGCCTTTCTCATATCACCTAAGAAACTGCATAGCAAGAGGGTAAAAATAGCAAAGCAAAGACTAACCAAAGACACTTTGTAGCACAATAAAATAGATGAAATTCTAGTAACCATATAAAAGACACACTTGACATTACTCATATGACGCTAGTAACAGCATAGCAACGCATTAAGTATAAATTAGCAATACCAGTCTGATCTTACAAGGAAACATAAGTACTTTACGTTTGTCAGTGTAGTGGCTAATTTGTACAAAAATGTAGTCATTTACAGTAAATTGTACTATTGAGATCATACGAATTCATACGAATTAGCCACTAGTTCAAAAAGTTACGAATTGCCATGAGATTGTGTTGGCAATACCCTAAAACTACTATTAGTGCACTAACATTTTTTAGTTTTGCACTTTAGTAAAACACCTTAGCAGCAGCCTAGCACTTCTCTAAAAACTAGATGACAACCTACAGTAACCAGCATACACTCAACACCAACAGCTTGGCAATACGCTAAAACCACTTAGCAACCACAGACAACAATTTAAAACTATGGCTAGTTTGGCACAAGTGTATTTCTTCACAAAAGGAAAACTATTTTTGGCCATTTGAGGTTTATTAATGTGAAACTTATTTGTTTGCTGTGTGATTTAAACAATCTAAAACCACCTGCTTATTTGCATGTAGCCTTATTACACTGTATACCCAGCTGAATTAAAAAAACAAAACTGTTCCTCTCAATTTCCCAGTGGGGTCATATTAATTTTAGAGGGGTTTAGCAACTTTTTTTTTTTTTTTTTTTTTAATTTGACTCAGCTGGTCATGCAGATCACATAAAGATCTGTTTTACTAGGTTAGCCTGGGTTAGAGACCATCTAAATCCAGCAACTTTTAGATGAATCCACCTAAGACTAGCAAACCAGCTTGTTTTAGCTCAACCAGCTTAAATCAGCTCATGTGCAGCAAAGGAAACCCATCTTAAACCAGCTCATGACCAGCAAAGAACAAGCTTAAACCAGCTTAAGACCAGCAAAGAACCAGCTTAAAAGTTAGCAAGAACCAACCTAAACCAACTCATGACCAGCAAGAAACATTTTAAGTCGACTCAAGACCAGCTAGAAACATCATAAATCAAGCAAGAACCAGCTTAAATCAACTCAAGACCAGCAAGGACTATCTTAAACCAGCCCAAGACCAGCAAGAACCAACTCAAATCAACTCAGAACCAGCAAGAACCAACTTTAATCAGCTCAAGACTAGCAAGAACCAGCTTAAATGAACTCAAGTCCAGCCATAACTAGCTTAAACTAGCAAATGATGAGCAAGAACCATCTTAAACCAACTTAAGACGATGTTAAACCAACCCAATACCAGCAAGAACCAACTTAAACCAACTCAAGACCAGCAAGAACCATCTTAAAGTCATGATGAGCAAGAACCATCTTAAACCAACGCAAGAGCATCTTACCAGCAGGAACCAGCCTAAATCCACTCAAGTCCAGCCAAAACTAGTTTAACCAGTGAAAGACCAGAAAGAACCAACTTAAACCAACTCAAGACCAGCAAAAAAACATCTTAAACAAGCTCATGATGAGCAAGAACCATCCTAAACCAACTTAAGACGATGTTAAACCAATCCAATACCAGCAAGAACCAACCTAAACCAACTCAAGACCAGCAAGGACCATCTTAAACAAAGTCAAGATGAGCAAGAACCATCTTATACAAGCTCATGATGAGCAAGAACCATCTTAAACCAACGCAAGACTATCTTATACCAACCCAATACCAGCAAGAATCAGCTTAATTTAACCTAATACTAGTAAGAACCAACGTAAACCAACTCAAGAAAAGCAAGAACCATCTTGAACCATCTCATGATCAACAATAACCAGTTAAAACCAGCAGCCAAGGGCGCCGTTAAGCAGGGCAAAGTAAGGACTATCTAAGGGCCTAGTGGGCCCCCAGAGATCTACTTTTTTATTATTGCCAGTACTAGCAGGGGGGCCAATCGTATTTTCCTTCATATGGCCCCAAGGCAGCAGTCATGTGCCAAAGCCTTACCAGTACATGCTGTTGTTGTTCTTTCAGCTGGGTAAAAAGCATAAAAATAGCACATGTGCAGCACTGTAGATTGCTTTGATATGTGCTTTGCTATTGAAATGAAACAAATGTTTATCATGCGAGCATTTTCACACTTCGCCAACAGCAGGACATGACAAGCCACGCTGACAGTTTGAGCGAGCAGAAGTCATGGTCTGCATCTTCACAGAAAGGAAAGGGTGTGAGCTCTCAGTGGTTTCCTCTTGAGTAGTATCTGATGAGTGAAACCAGTAGTGGGTGCGTTGGGTGTGCTCACTTGCTAGGTTTGTGGTCTACTGAGGCTGAAATAAGGACGAATATGTTGTGCTCGGCTGGTTTTACAGGTGCTTTTGCATCTCATTTCCACGGTTCATAATTTCTCCTCTTTTTGGGGTGTATGTTCTAAAGTTCCCACCGATAAATATCTTTCAAACTTTCCTTTTGCACTATTAGGATACTGAAACCGAAATACTACTTGCTGTTGTGATGTGTGATGTGGTCGATAAAAAAAACAGTTAACGCATATATTTCTGACCTTGCAGTGTGTGCGCGAGCGCGCGCGCGTGTGAAATGATGATCTTGACTGCCTTCATGTGACTACGTTTCCGTTGCTTGCTTGCTTCCGCAATTACTAAAGACATTGCAGAGATGCAGATGTCAAGCACAAGAGAGACCAAGCCAGCAGAACCTCCCCGCAAACCGATGTGATGGTCTTCAGTGAGGTTCACAGAGGAGCGGAGGGCGCGATTCTGGCCACTGGGGTAAGCGCGCGCGTTACACACACACGAGATAAACACCAGCGTGTGCATAAAAAAACTGAAAGATTAAAAGTTTAATAGCAGTTTGTCATTTGGGTAACGCTTTGATTCAATATGACTTTCAGTACACTCATTAGTCATTACATTGATATTCGCCTGAGGTAACATGGCGAATCTGACTGGATAAAGCAATATTGTGTATGTTTGTTTGTGACGACTGAGGTAAAATATTGTCTTCGCTTTTATGCAGAAGGTCAGTGGTTTCAAAGGGAGTTGAGAGAGCTGCAGAGAGGTCAACCGATTAAAGACAAAATACAGGCTAAATATAAAACAAAAGCCGTATACAACTCAAATTTCGTAGCTTTTTGGTGACTTTTGTGTTTTGCTTCAAGTGTAATTTTAATGGATGTATATGAAGTTATAAGTCTTGATTATAGTATTAACTATGCTTATGTTACATTAAGGCTTTCATCCAGAATGAGTTGTATTATGGTTTTATCTTCAATTGGAAAAGTGTATGCATGCATTACTTGTTAAAATGTTTGTTTAAATAAAAAGTTGTAATTTGGAGCTTTTTTATTTGCATAAATAACAAAAAAAGTTTGCCATGTTTCAGACATGACATTTTTTAGACGCAAAATACCCCCTTTTTTTAAATCCAGAATTGGTTTTAAAAACCCTGCTTTTTTTACAACAAATAAAAATATTTGCTATTATGTTTGTTGTAATTTTCTGTGAAAATAAAAACAAAAACCCAATACTAAAATACTAACATTTGTAAAAATCCTGACAATATTTGTATTTGAAAAAAAAAATGGAAATGTGACGTATAAAACAGAATTTTCAGGGCGTCTCTTTTCAATGCTTTATTTTCATATTTCAATTATGTTATTATTACGTTTATGTAGAAGTGAATTTAAAATGCTGTCTAATGCTGTGGCATTTATAAGTTAAAACAAACAAACACTTGATCAATTTCTGACTGTGATGAAGAATCTCAGTCAAACTAATCAGACTTATAACCTTTAGTCTTAAATAACCACCATTCATGGCACATATACCACTAGGAGCTGAAGCCATCTTGTTATATTTACAGCCTGTTCCTAATTTGTACTAATTATAGCAAAAATTCAGTAGGTAGGTACTAACTTTGATTTAGCCTGAACCTATGTAGTTTAACATACATTATATGACCCTGTTATGAACCCATAATGTAAAATAAAGCTCAGCTGTATTTGTTTTGAAAAATCAATAAAACATGGAATGTCTTAAAGTAATAATTGTAGAGTATATTTGAGATTTAATTTATTACATGGTTGGTCTACTCATCTGTAATTAAAATTCAATTCAGCAGCAATCGGAATTGTAGCAACATGTTCAATGAAAAAAAATTATCATTTAAATACATTAAAAGACATTGTTACACAAACATTATAAAGTGTCACCAGAAAAAAACAATATATTTGTACATATTGCATAATAAATACACTAAAAATACAACATTTAATGTTAGAATCATGGATGGTCACACACACAAATGAACAAATACACAAACATTCAGCACAAAAAAGTTTCCTTATTAATTAAAATGTCTTGACTAAATACATAAAGATAATGTATAACAGCAACAGAAAAAATAAGAGACCACTTGAAAATTCTCAGAAAATGTTCATCTTTTTAATTCATAAAGTTATGATCAGTGTTGAGGAAAGTTACTTTAGAAAGTAATGCATTACAATATTGAGTTACTCACAAAAGTTGTAACTTGTTGCATTACTTAGTTACTTTTTATGGAAAGTAATGCGTTATATTACTTTTGAGTTACTTTTGCATTACTTTTTCTGACCTGGTTGAGTCTGGATCTCTTTTAAGTCTCTGCAGTTAACAATACACTGTATAACCTTTATCTACCTTTAAAAAAAACACTTAAAACATTAATGTAGGATGATGTTATCTTTGGAGATCTTCTTGATCCCAGAGCTATATACAGTTGAAGTCAGAATTATTAGCCCCCTGTTTATTTTTCCCCCAATTTCTGTTTAACGGAGAGAAGATTTTTTTTTCAACACGTTTCTGAACATAACAGTTTTAATAACTCATCTCTAATAACTGATTTATTTTATCTTTGCCATGATGACAGTAAATAATATTTGACTAGATATTTTCAAGACACTTCTATACAGCTTAAAGTGACATTTAAAGGCTTAACTAGGTTAATTAGGTTAACTAGGCAGGTTTTGATGATTAGGCAAGTTATTATATAATGATGGTTTGTTCTGTAGACAATCGAAAAAAATAGCTTAAAGGAGCTAATAATTTTGTCCCTATAATGTTTTTTTAAAAACTAAAACCTGCTTTTATTCTAGCCAAAACAAATAAGACTTTATCCAGAAGAACACATATTTTCAGACATACTGTGAACGTTTCCTTGCTCTGTTAAACATCATTTGGGAAATATTTTTTAAAATAAACAAAAATTTAAGGAGGGCTAATAATTCTGAATTCAACTATACATGTAAATACAAATTAATGCAAGTTAAAAGCAATGTGTTTGATTTATTGTACTTGTTGTCAATTTTCCATTAGAGAAATGTAAGGCTCTGCCATCTTCCTTTCTGTCTGTTCCTGCATTCTCTCATTGCGTGCAGGTTTCAATGTGACTACCTTCATTTTAATTAACCAATTTATTTTTAAAAGCAAATTAACTAAACTAAAAATAACTCTCATTACGTAAAAAAGTAACTTTAGTGTTATTACCTAACTTTTAAAAGTTACTTCAATCATTACTTAGAAATGAAATATTGTTACATAACTCTCCTTACTTGTAATGTGTTTAATTCAATTCATCTTTATCTGGATAGCGCTTTTACAATGTGGATTGTGTCAAAGCAGCTTCACGTAGAAGATTATAGTGAATTGAAACAGATCTCATGATCTCAATTGATCTCGATCAGAATTTGCAGGGGGAGGGGGTTCTTCTTTTTTTAAAATAGAGGAGCAATTATCAACACACTGTATAACCTTTATTTACCTTAAAAATAAACCAAAAAATAAATATTATGTAGGATAACATTATCTTCGGAGAACTTCCTGATCCCAGAGCTATACTTGTCGTAAATACAAATTAATGGAAGTTTAAAGCAATGTGTTTCAGAAATTGAAGGGGGGGGGGGGGGGCATCTTATCCTTTCTACTAGAGGAGCTCTGCAATTAACAACACACTGTATAACTTTTATTTACCTTCTTTAAAAAACACATAAAAAATTAATGTAGGACAATGTTCCCAGGGCTATATTTGCCGTAAATACAGAATAATGAAAGTTTAAAGCAATGCTTTCCTACTTTTGTACATTTTTGTCAATTTTCCATCGCAGAAATGTAAGGCTCTGGCATCTTCTTTTCTGTTTGTTCCTGCACTCTCTCATTGTCTTCGGGATTTAATGTGACTACCTTCATTTTAATTCACCAATTTATTTTTTAAAAGAAAATCAACTAAACTAAAAAGTAACTTTTATAAAAAAAAAAATTAAGAAATTACTTTTAATATTATAACTTAATTTTGAAAATTAATGTGTTATTTTACCTGTTACTTAGAAAAATAATATTGTTACATAACTCGCCTTGTAATTCGTTACCCCCTAAAAAGTAACTTGTTGTGTTATTTAGTTACTTTATTGTAAAGTAATGCGTTACATTACATTTGCAAATTTATTTTGCATTACTTTTTATCACCTGGCTGAGGCTTGATCTCTTTCAGAACTTGCAGGGAAGGTTCTTTTTCTTTTTTTACCACCAACACTCGTTATGGTTTAAAAAGTGTATTCCAAATTCCTGAAAAACAAACAAACAAGTAAATAACACATTATCATTTAAAGCATTGTTGGTCAAAATAAATGATCAGATGTGTATGTGGCTGTGTGCTTGTGTTTTAGTTTTTTTAAGGCTTATATAATCACAAGTTGCATTTAGACACCTAAAACACTTTTATGAAAACACAGCCAGGAATTAAGGTAGACCTCTGCATGAACAAGTTTAATGCAGGCTTTTTTAGCCAATCAGATTTGAGTATTCAGGCAGACCTTAGTTCAATTATAAATATATATATATATATAAACCTGTATTTACATTTGTGGTCTCTTTTATGGTTTATTCATGTCATCAGGATGCTTTATATGCTTTATTCCCTTTCATCACAGTGATCATGTTAAGATGCCGGTGTGCGGTTGCCTGTCCGTCGTGCTCAGTCACGCTGTGGTGCTGCTTATGCTGGTCCTGCATTCAGCTTCAGGACATCCACAGACCTTCCCCTGCAGACTGGTACGTGAGAAAGAGGAAGACTGCACAAAAACTCAGAAACTGTTGTTCTCAAAGCAATTCACTGGAAAGGAAATGATCATAATTCTTGTTATGTGTTAGTTTTCAACTTATTGAAAAATTTCTCAAGAACTATCAAGAATTTATAGCGGGGGGGAAAAAATGTTGAACACGTCACCGTTTTTCCCAGAAAACATTTTAAAATGATCAGGATGATTGTACAATGTCCTTTTATTCATTCATTCATTCATTCATTCATTTATTCATTTTCTCTTAGGCTTAGTCCCTTTATTAATCCGGGGTTGCCACAGCAGAATGAACTGCCAACGTATCCAGCACGATTTTAGGCAGTCGCCCTACCAGCCGCAACCCATCTCTGGGAAAACAATGTGCTTCAAAAATACAATTAAAAGCAAGTTTTAAAGATGTTTTGACATGGATTAAAGTTCAAAATCAATAATACTAAATAAATGAACTGAGCAGTTAACAAATAAGTAAATAAATACAATTAAAGAGGTATATATAAGTATTAATTATACTGACTAAATAGTTTCAATGTTAAACAGGCATAACCTTTAGAAATGCACAGGAAAAAATCATAGGTATTTCCCAGACATATTTTCTTGTAAATATCTCAAACAGTAAGAAAAGCATATTTCTATTTCTGCTGTTGACTTAAAATTTTCCCCAGATGTCGTTAACAACCAAAGTAATCCGCACGAAAAAAGAAAACAGAACTATTTTGTTTAGAAAATAAGTATGTGTGATAAAATGAAACGACAAAAAATAACATATTGAACAAATGAAGAAAGGGAAGTGTAAAAAAAGCATGGAAAGCCCAGACAGCAGCTGAAATCTCTCGGTAGCTAAAAAAAAAGAAAACAAAGCTGCTAGAATAGCCTAACCAATCCCCTGAACTAAATCCAATAGAAAATAAGATCAGAAATTAAGATCAGACTTCATATAAGAGACCCAGAGAATCGTCAAGATTTTTAGACTCTGTTGAAGTATGGGGGGCGACGCAGTGGCGCAGTGGGTAGCACGTTCGCGGGTAGAAGGTCGATGGGTCGCTGGTTCGGCTCAGTTTGCGTTTCTGTGTGGAGTTTGCATGTTCTCCCTGCGTTCGCGTGGGTTTCCTCCGGGTACTCCGGTTTCCCAAAGACATGTGGTACAGGTGAATTGGGCAGGCTAAATTTTCCATAGTGTATGAGTGTGTGTGTGAATGTGTGGATGTTTCCCAGGGATGGGTTGTGGCTGGAAGGGCATCCGCTGCGTAAAAACTTGCTGGATGAGTTGGCGGTTCATTCCGTTGTGGCGACCCCGGATTAATAAAGGGACTAAGCCGACAAGAAAATGAATGAATGAATGAAGTATGGGGGGAAAATCAAACCTGAATCATGCTTACATTCTCCGTGCCTTGAACCTGTTGTTATGTAAAACAAAGTAATAAATATATTTCAGTAGACAATTTGTATCGTTCCATTGGTATTACGCAAGCTAAAAGTTTTGGTCTATTTGTGCATTTGGAGTTTTGCAACTTTTACCAATATCTGGTCACATTTACTGACAGCAGCACCTTTAGAGATATATTTACTAGTAAAAATCCTAATGTGTTCAATACTTATTTTACACACTGATTTTACCCTACCCTGTCCCTTAAAAATGTTGATTTGCGTGTTTTTTTATTATTTTTAGATTTTTTTTTTCAAATTAATTTGGATGTCATGACAGGAAGGTCATTTTTAGGTTACCTATATAGGCTAATCAGCAAACCACAAGCTATTTCTCCATCTATTTTTGATATGCTTTGCAAGTGAAAAGATTCAAATGGGCCCAATGAACTGTAGTGGAAATATTAGTCACATACTGCTACTGTTTAATTTTTTCCATTGTGTGTAAGATTGTTCTAAATCAGTCCTTCCTTCTCTTTTCTTTCCACAGATCCAAAGTGTAGCTCTGTGCAGCGGTCGTCAGCTCTCCGTCATACCAGACTGTTTACCACATGAAACTGAGGAGATCTTCTTTGACAGGAACCTTTTGGAAAATCTTCAAGATGGTCTTTCAAGATATCCTTTTCTAAGGATGTTCAGCTGTGCAAACAATCAGCTAATGACGGTGGCTGAGACTGCATTCATTGAATCACATCTTTTAGAAAACCTCAATTTGGCCAACAATGAACTTCATCATGGCCACAAGCAAGTGGCCCAGGCCTTTCGCTCTTTAACCCAACTAAAGACCCTTGATCTTTCGGGGAATGGGCTGTCGGAGGACATGGTGTCTGTACTGGTAGCAAATCTATCCTCACTTGAATCCCTTTACTTGTCCCGGAATGGAATGCAAAGGCTGGATGAGTCCACATTCAGAGACCTCCATCAGCTTAAAGAGCTGAACGTTGAGAGGAACTTACTGTTTGAGATCAGTGGGGCGTTTGATCATATGAAAAAACTCCAGAGGCTGAATCTGGCTTTCAACTGCTTGCCCTGTTTGGTGAACTTTGAGATGACTCAACTGCTGGTCCTAAACGCCAGCCACAATTCCATCGAGTGGTTCATAACCAATCAGAATTTGACTGAAACCTTTCAACTGGAGACGCTGGATCTCTCTGACAACCACTTGCTCTTTTTTCCGTTCCTTCCGACCAACAACCAAATACGAACTTTACTGTTGTCCAACAATCGAGTGGGTTTTTATCAACACTTAGCAAATAGCACATCTTCAAACTGGACAACTAGTGTGGACTACTACAACTTAGGGCAAAATATAAGCAACATTACCATGGATCTCTGGAACGAGAACCTTCATGGTAACCTTTCCTCTGTTGAGTTTTTGGACCTGAGTGAAAACAAGGTGAACTATTTCCCTCAGGGATTCATTAAACAGATGCCCCAACTTTACTGGCTGAAGCTCAGAAGTAACTGTTTACAGTCTTTCAGTTTGACTTCAGAAGATCTACCAGTCACCATCTATGAACTAGACGTTAGCCGAAACAGGCTAACTGAGATCAAAGCAAGCCAAACCTCTAAAAACAAGTTAAACAATCTCACGCATCTAAATCTGAGTACTAATGACCTTCAGAACTTCCCACCAATGATTTTTACAAGTCTACCAAATCTTAACACACTAGATCTCAGTCACAACACTGTGGATGTGTGTTATTCGTCAAACTACATTGGTTTATCAGGATGTGTCGAGTGGTCCAGTATGGCCTCGCTGAAACAGCTTTACCTTGCCGATTGTAGCATTCAAAATGTGCCATCTTCAGCGTTCAAAGGCACATCCCTAACCCATCTCGAACTTTCCAACAATCCAAACCTACACCTCAAACAGCAATCTCTGAAAGGCCTTGCAAACACTTTGCAGCATTTAGGAATTGGCAACACCGGTCTTCAAGACTTCGACTTTTCTCCGTACACCAACTTGAAATCTTTAAACATCTCTAGAAACTCACTATCAAAACTCCCCGATTCTCTAATGGCATTAAACCTGAAGCTTCTGGACTTGAGGGATAACTCCTTGACAACCATCAAGTCAGAACATGCTAGCTTGTTAGCAAAGAAACTGCAGACTGTTTATATGAACGGAAATGCCTTCAACTGTTGCCATTTAGACTGGTTCAGGACTTTCGGAGAGAACAAAGGCATCCATGTGGCAGACCTCTCTGAGATTACATGTTTGGACTTAAACTACAGACGTCACAAGGTTGTGCTTACGGATGCCGTTTACTGTGGCTTCACCAATAACAACAAGGAGTCTGTTGTGTGGTATATCCTTTTGTTTGTAACAGTCAGTGTTTCCATCATGGGTATTTCTGTTATTTACATGCTCACCTTTAAGCCAAGAATGTTGCCCCGTGTTATTAAAAAGAAATGCTGGAGGCCAACTTCTTATTGAGGCACAGATCTCTACAAAAATAAAGAACTAACATGAGAAATGCTAGTTAAGGATGTGAAGAAAATCAAATGTGATATTAATGTGAAATATTTAGGCCATATTGGTCTGCAAATATGTGAATGTATCTAATTTCATTGACATTAAAGTTCATAAAAGACTTTTATCTGCAGTGATAGTTTGTTAATTTCCATGGGTTCATTTGGCAAAAGCGTAGTCCAAAGCAACTTAAATGGAGTTAACTTGTTAACAAAGGTTCGGCAGCGGGACCACCCCTCACTTTGCCTCCTTAACCAATCACCTACTCCCTAAAACTTACTTTTAAGGCAGACCAGTTTACTTGAACCCACCCTCTTTCCCTCGATTTCCTTGCTTCCCATTAACAATCCGTATAACCTCCTACTAGGTTGAATCGGGGGGTCCAATCACTCTACCAAAAAAACTTTACAGAGATGGTACCCCCACTCTGAGTCTCTGGGCAACATCGTAGTATGCCCGATCAACCTGCCTACCTGTTTAATATTTATCCTCTTACTTCCCTTCCCCTTCATCCCACTGTTCCCTTACCATCGCTAAAATAAAGTCTAGCTCAAAGGCCCGTTTACACTGTCAGGTCTTGATACCCAATTCCGATTTGTTGCCTATATCAGATTTTTTTGCCTGTCTGTTTACACGTTCTTTTATTTGTGACCCATATCCGATTCATGTGTTTGCACTTGCCATACAATTTAAAAAGTCGAACATGTAAAGTGGGTTCTAGCATCTGCGCCACACTAGCCATGATGGAAGAGGATGTCTTGCTTTTAGCTCTGCGAAATATGCAAAGTTCGCCCAACTTTAAAATTATTTTGTGGTCGAGTCGGAGGGAAAGGGCCATCGTCGCAGCTTGCGCCTATGGTCTATATATGGTGTCCTCCACCATTCAGAGGAATTTGTGGGTACGAGAGAGATCTCAGAACTGGTGGGAGCAAATTGTGGCGACTGACCACTTTCCTCCTCCATGTTTCCTCTGTTGTTGTTGTTTACCGCGTTGGCGTCTTCTAACACTCTTCCTTCTGTCAAACTATGTCAAAGTACCATAATGTCGCAAGTTTAATGACGTACAAAACAGAATGCCTCAATAAATCCGATCTGCCTTTTTACATGATAGTCGCATTGTCACCAATTTATATCTGATTTTTTTTTTTTACAAATGAAGGAAGCCTGAAACCGATCTCTGAATATCGCTGTGCATGTGTTTTCTTCCTGTTTACACAGTCATAGAAAAGATTCGATCTGTGTCACCTATGAGCAAAAATTGGGAATTGGGTCACATTTAACTGGCAGTGTAAATGGGGCCTAAGTGTGGCACGGTTCATGATGGTGAAATTGTATTTAATACATATATATTGTCATACTGTATGTGTTCCTTAGTGCTTCATATAGTGCATATTTCTTTGTGGTAATATGTAAAATATTAAATCAGGATTAACCGCCATACACTACATTGTTTTTAATGACAGATTACTACACATTTTTTGTTAGGCTTAGTTATAGGGTTAAACAAAATACATTACACTTCAGTCCACATTAAATTAAATTTAAAGTGATTTTGTTTGCAGAGCTAGTTTGAAGGGTTGTGGCAAAACTTTTCTTTTATTTAAATTACTTTTTTATATTAACAATTAAAAGTTTTTATACAGTAACAATTGTTTCCAGCCACAAACACCTACAGTAAGTGGTTGTCCTCTATAAATGATGTTTAAAAAATATTTTAGTAATTATTTTGCTTTAAAAAAAATCAAATGCAATGCGCTTTAGATTTCCTTCCGGTTTTACTCACTACAAGAAACATCTCATGAGTTTTCTGTTGTATATCAGATGCTCATTTGTGCGCGTGCATGTGTGTAGGTTCGCAGAAGTCGTGCGTTAAAAACAGTTGCTAAAAGAAGCAAAGGAAGCATGAAATTTCCTGTTTTGCTAAGACCTGTAGCAACTGGCCAACTCTCGGTATCACTGAGGGGGATGGCGGTGCTGTGGTTTTGCTCCATGCTTGGTTCTCAGTCAGAGGCACAGAAGGACTTTAAAAAATGTATAGAAAATCACATTATCGTTCATCTGAAATATTGCTCCAGTTCTCAGGCTTTTAGACTATGCTAATGCAACTCGAAAAACTGATTCGAAATCCCCAATTAATATAATCAAAGCTCATTTAAATTAGTACTATAACTGTTTTTTCCACTCTTTAACTTTATATAAATTTTTTAGTTTTGGTTATTTTAAAGCCTGTGTAAAATCCACATTTACAATGGTTTATTTGCTTATTGTTATTTTTTAGGATCATCAGTGCAAGTTAATCTACTGAAGAAAAAAAACAAATGTTTGTTTTGGTAATCTTCAATCAAAATCTGACCATTTGCTTCAACTTTTAGAGTGGTTGTTTTCTGTTGATGTCAGTTTGATGGCTTCAGTCACAATTTTCCTAACCACGCACCTATTATCGTTAGTTTGCTATGCAGGAATGCAAAAATGAAGTCCCCTACTCAATCTTTAAATTTAGTTGGAAGTACATCAACATACTGAATGTCTCAGCAACTTCTGGTTTACGCTGACTTATAAGTAACTGAAAAGGAATACGAATATTTCCATGGCAACTAAATTAGGTTAATATATTTAATGTACAGTGCATCCGGAAAGTATTTATAATGCTTCACTTTTTTCCAATTTTTTATTGTTATAGCCTTATTCCCAAATGGATTAAATTAATTTAATTCCTCAAAATTCTACACACAATACCCCATAATGACAATGTGAAAAAAAGTTTGTTTTTTTTAATTGTTGCAAATTTATTAAAAATAAAAAACCTAAAAAATCACATGTACAGAAGTATTGACAGCCTTTGCCGAGAAGCTCTAAATTGAGTTCAGGTACATTCTGTTTTCACTGATTATTCTTGAGATGTTTCAGCAGCTTAACTGGAGTTCACGTGTGGTAAATTCAGTTGATTGAACATGATTTGAAAAGGCATACACCTGTCTATGTAAGGCCCCAGGGTTGACAGTTCATGTCAAAGCACAAAACAAGCATGAAGACAAAGGAATTGTCTGTAGACCTCCGAGACAGGATTGTCTTGAGGCACAACGCTGAGAAAGGTTACAGAAAAAAATCTACTGCTCTGAAAGTTCCAATGAGCACAGTGGCCTCCATCATCTAGAAGTGGAAGATGTTTGGAACCACCAGGACTCTTCATAGAGCTGGGCGGCCATCTAAGCTGAGAGATCGGGGGAGAAGGGCCTTAGTCAGGGAGGTGATCAATAATTACTCTTTCTGAGCTCCAACAGTTTTGCAACAATTTCAAAGAATCTTTTTTCACATTGTCATTATGAGGTATTGTGTGTAGAATTTTGAGGAAACAAATTAATTTAATGCATTTCGGAAATGTCACCGACTCGGTCCCAGTCATTCCCCTCGCTGGCTAGCAGAGGTTATCATCACCGGACTTCTAACATTACGTTATCCACTTACACTGATAGCATGCACCTGCAGCTCATCCAGTTGATGATCCACGCTCACACATATAAGCTGCACACACACACTCACTCATTGCGAAGTCTTGTTCTGCCCCGGTTAACACTACTGAGCCTTTCTCATCCTTGCCTGCTTCCCCGTTGTTACCTTGCTTTGATTACCGACCTTGTCCAGCCTGCCGCCTGTCTTGTACCTTTGCCTGAACCTCGACTCTGATCCTCGCCGCCTGCCTTGAACTCTAGCCTGCTCACCAACTGTGATATCAGCCGCCTGCCTCTGACCCATGCCTGCATACTCATCCTGTGTTTACCTGTCGCCAGCCCTACGACCATATACTGATGTGTGTTTGATGTGAGTTCGCACACGCATTACACCTGTGTGCTATTTGTTATTAAACTGTGTTTAATAAAAATACTGCAAATGGATCCCTCTGTGTCAGCCACTTCGTTACAGGAATGAAGCTGTAACATAAAAAAATTTGGAAAAAGTAAAGCGCTATGAATACTTTCCAGATGCACTGTATATATTATCGGAAACCCTGCAATTATATATATATATATATATATATAGTTATACACTATAGTTATACATAGTTATACATAGTTTATATAATTAAAATGTGCTATACATTTTTATCGTCCAAATATTGTCCTGAAATTATCTGCAATATATATTATTGTACATATTACTATATACTTACTTATTGATTATTATTAGTATTAAGTATTATTAATTATTTATTAATAATAATAAGTATTATTTATGCTGATTTAAAGACAACTTTACTATGTATCAACAGATAAAAATAAGGAATAGCATCCTACAAACTGCGTATCTGTAAGATGCTTCAGTAAATTACAAACAAAAAGGTCAGTGACGATCAACACTGACCAGAGCAAGGATTGCTTGTCAAACCTCTCATTGCAAAATTATCAATGTTAAACCACTAAACCTAAACCACGCTGATTACCACCTCAGCCTACTCGGAATCACTTATAATACTGTGACCCAAACTGTGTGCTAATGACTAAAGGAAAGATAAATGTCAGTGAGGCAGCGAGCATGGGAACCTGGCAGTGTTTGTGTGTGTGTGTGTGTGTGTGTGTGTGAGAGAGAGAGAGAGAGAGAGAGTGTGCGTTGAACCAGAGTGTAACCAGAGTATAACCGCTGTGGTGGTTCTCTAGGTCATGGCGGTTTGAACAGCGAAAGAGAGAGAAAAAGAGAAACTATGGAGCTCAGGCTCAATTGTTCATCCATATATAGTTTGGATTATGTTCAATCCTGAAACGCTGCATTTAAAAGAGGAAGTAAAGATATTATGGGTAGGCTTTCAGATCATTTGATTACTTTTACAGTAAAAAGAACAAATTATGTGTCTTTTTAAGGTGTACAAAAAACCTCTAGTGTTCCCTGAATGTGTCTGGGAAGTTTGAGCTCAAGTTTATACCACAGGTTGTTTATTAAAGCTTGTTAAATTCACTTATTTGAGTGTAAGCAAAAGCATAGCAATTTGTGTGTCCCTTTAAATGCAAATGAACTGCTGCTTTTCCAGAATAGGGCGGAGCTTCTACAGATGCTATTTGGAGACTCCAAAAACAACAAAACTAGCCAATTTCATTCAACCGAACTGTCAGAAATTGTCACAAGTTTATTA